GGCATATGTTAGGTAGGTATGCAAATGTCAGAGGAAGAGATTGAATATCTTGCTGTATCACACTACATTTTATTCCCTTGAGACAGGGTTTCCAATGAACCTGGAGCTGTGCTATTAGCTCGCAAGCCCCAGTGATTCCTTTGTCTTCAACTCCACAGGCTGAGGATTCAGACTGTTTTCTTTTTAACACAGGTTCTGTAATCTGAACTCAGGACTTCATGCCTTCACAGCAAGTATTCTTACCTACTGAGCCATCCCTCCAGCCCTGTGAGTAGGCTTTAGATTGTTGTGCATGCATAGTGAATGATAATTATTGACTCACATTTTTGTATCAATGAGGTAAGAATTCTGATGTTTCTTGAAGATGGCAAGGAAAGCATTCTAAAGGAAATCATAGGCTATATACTCAGTTTAGAAACTTTCAAGAGGGTCAGTACATCTGAGGAATTTCAAGACACCACTACATCTTTGACAGATGAATGATAAAAATAAATATGAATATGATGAGATTAGCTTTTTATAGAAGTCACCTTAAAATAGTGCCCTGCAGAAGCTTGGGCTCCACTGAAATCTATAGAACTTTTTTAGGTCAAAATTTTGAACAGGAGAAACAAAGGATTATCTAGAGCAGTGGGTCTCAACATTCCTAATGTTGTGACCCCCTTAATTTAGTTCCTCATGTTGTGCTGACCCCCAAACATAAAATTATTTTCATTGCTACTTCGTAACTGTAATTTTGCTATTGTTATGAACTGTAATGTAAATATTTGTTTTCCAATTGTTTTGGGTGAGCCTGGTGAAAGGATCATTTGAACTCCCCAAAGGGGTCGGGACATACTGGTTGAGAAACATTGATCTAGATATAAAATAAATTAATCAATAGCAATGTTCATTATTATTTCCCTCTGTGTTAATAATTACTAGACATCAGAAATGAATTCTTAAATATTGCATTTGCTTCTCACCACAAAGCCAAAAGGTAGGTACAACAAATCCATTGTATAAAAAACAAAGTTAGGTTTTGAGAGGTTAAATAACAAGCCTAAGAAGCAAGAGTCTTGATTGAAATCCAGACATTGCTTTCTCCAAAGGTGGGTGGTAGTGGAGTGGTGGAGTGGGAATTAGAGACAGAAATAGAGAGTGGGCTGGAGGAAGGAATGGAGAGATGTTCTGTGGGGAGTGCTCAGGGGTGGAGTCCATCAGGAGGTCCAGACCCTGCTTATGAGTGAGCAGGACCTTTAACACCTGTGGTCTCTAAGCATCTGCTAATTGTTGTGGGACAGATGGCTCCCAGTGCCTGTCAGGGCATTATTCCATCAGTAGCTCAGCAAACCCTCTCATACAATGGCAGTTTTGATGCTGTGCCCACCTAGTGACTTCTGAGCAGTAGCACGGTTTCCTGTAAGGACAACTTCTGGGAATAAACACTCTACCAATCTGAAACCACAGCTCTGCATATGTGAGCATCACAGGTGGCTGTACAAGCCACAGTGCTGGCTTGAGGCTCCATCAGTGCTGAGTGTCCTAGTCCTGTGGGAAGTGACTCTGTGGCTCTCAGAGCTGATGAAAAGATGCCAGTCACTAGGGTGTCCATGGTAGTTCATGCTCTCAGAGATAGCTATGGGCTAGGAGCTAGCTTTAACTTCATCCAAAAGTAAATTCATCAGAGGTAGCAGACCAATCACAAGCAAATGGTATTGAAATTTCACCTTCATGCTGAGCTCAGCTCATAGGCCATGGAGACACAGTGGAATACCATTTCTGTGTTCAGGCATTTGGAAAGCAAGATTCTGATGCCCATTGCCAATAACATTTAAAACATACACTTTGCAAATACTAGTGGCCTGTATCTAAGAATTTGTTTTAAATAAAAAGCTATATATGTGTGTGTGCTAGTATATGTGCACAGGCCAGCCACTGTTGGGAGCTAATTCTCTAATTTCACTATGTCGGCCCCAGGGATCAAACTCAGGTCTTCAGATTTGATGGTAAGTACCTTTACCTGCTGAATATCCTCTTGGGTCCTGTGTCTGGGAATTCCAAAAGCAATTGCTTAGCTAGACAAAAAGTGATAACAGGGATCCACCACCTTAATAGATGTGAAGAAAAAGGTGTTTTTTCATAGAGATAATACATAGAACCATGGATATGGTAAATAATGCGTTGTGTGTTTCACAGTCACCAACAGAGGGAATATCAGTTGCTCTTGCCACAAAAACAAGGACTAGGGGTGGTTTTAATTATTCAACATTGTTTTTTATTAAATGTTCTATCTCCGTGTGTATGCAGACCTCAAAGGCTGTTTTTATATGTCTTCTTCAATTGCCTTTCCCTTTTTTTTGAGATAAGGTCTCTCACTGATCCTGGAGCTCATAGATGCAGATAGGTCAGTGACCAACAGGCCCTGGAGATCCTCCCGTCTATGCCTCTCTGGCACTGATATTTCATGCATGCTCTGCCACGTCTGACTTGTCTTCTGCCATTACATGGGTGCTAGAGGTCTGTTCCTCACACTTGTGTGGCAAACACACACTAAGCCACCACCCCTGCCAGCCCATCCACATTGTATTCATGAATCACAGTGTTCCTTTATACCACACAAATATACAAAACTATATTTTTAATTAAAAAGTTAAAACAAATGGTAAAGTTATGGCTGACTATGTCCCTGGGTACAGCCAGCAGGGCCTCTATACTAGGTACAAGACAGGAACCTGGAACTTGGTTGCACCTGGGTATCATCTGTGACTCATGTGTGAAACGGACAATACGTGAAACATGTCACACCTTTGGAGCTTTCTTAAGTGAAGTAGGACAAGTGCACCCAATAACACACAAGGACTAGGGAGTGGTCATTGTTTGAAGTAGAGCATGTCCTCACATGGCCATATAGATTGCTGAGATTTGGAAGCCATGATTAGAATTAACCAGAACAGGCCTGAGGATTTGGCTTAGCATTCAGGAGTCCCAGAGTTTGATCCCTAGCACCACATAAAACAGTGTGTGATGCTTGCCTGTGATCTCAGCACTTGGAAATGAAGACTGGAGGGTCAGAAGTTCAATGTCATTCTTGGTTGTTTTGTAAATTGGAAGCTACCATACACTACATCATCTCTCTGTTTGATAATTTAATACCTTGGATGCATATTCTCTCTCTTGCTGGGATGGTGGGCATGGCTGAGTGAATGCCAGCAGAGCTCCACTGTGATAGAACTTGGCAGATGATGTGGTGGAGGGTGTGACTGTTTTATGTATGTAGCAAGATTCTGAATAGACTACTTCCAGTTCACACTCTATTATCCTGTCTTTGATCTTGGGCGTGGTTTCCATTAACAATAACATACTTGCTGGGCATCTAGTCTCTTCTTTGTCATACACCATGGCTAAGTTTGCTCTTGACCTCATGGCAACCTACCAAGTATGAAAATGACAAACCAACAGAAGGCTAATTCACTTACCCAAAAGTACTTCAACACAAGCTAGAGTCATGCCTAGTTTGGGGGCAGGGGAATCTTAAAGCCTTTTCACTTTCTAGTTTACTTTACTGTTCACCGAAATAAACTTCAGTATTTCAGTTCCAATATCTTTTGCTATTGTAATATTCACCCTTCAAACTTCATTAATTTGTTAAGATCACTAAATGAGAACACATGTACCCAAAGGCTCCATACCAGGCTACGGAATTTTGGTATATTATTATTCTCTAATGAGATTATTAAAATGAAATATTTGTACATTAATACACATTAATAAATTCCACAGTAGTTGTGGAATGTTTATGAATGGAATTACATCTGATTTAGAAGTTAAGAAAGGGGGGTGGAAGAGAAAAAAGGAAATGTTTACTGCATAAGCACTAATAATTATGATTATGTACCAAGTGTCAAGACAAAATAATTGTCAATCTGTGTCATTGTTGAGTTGTCCTATGATAAAGATAGAGAACTGGGTGGGAGAGATGTCTGACCAACCGTAATCCTAGTACTTGTAGGGTGAGATGAGATCAGAGACAAGAGACTCTTTAAAAAGTGCTAGGACAGCTAGGAATGCATAGTAACAACCAACAACCAAGACACTGCCTCAAGCAAAGAGGAACATGAGGACCAAAAGACTCGTTTGTCTTCTAACCTCCACATAAATGTGCGCGAGCACGCGCGCGAACACACGCACGCGCACGAGAAAGAGACAGAGACAGAGACAGAGACAGAGAGAGGGGAGAGTCCTTAAGAATTTAAGATTGGAGGGTCAGAGATAAAAGAACATACCCAGTCTAAATGACAGAGTTAGGACTCTGACCCACTTAATCAGCACCAAATCTACAGTGTTTCCTAGGCAACACTGGACTCAACCAAAGCAAACCAGAAATGGGTTCCCCCAAATTTTATACCAGAGCTGTCTAGACAGAACTGAAAGTGATAGCCATTGCCTTTTCAATGGCCTTGTTTGTCGAGTCATCTGAGAGGGTATATTTGGGGAGGGGGGGAACAGACATCTGGTCTCAGAGAAGCCTCCAGGAGTGGATTCAAGGACACAGTCTATAAAGCTACAAACATGTACTGCTCATGTTCTACAAAAGCCTCTTGGGTGAAAATCAGTTTAAGTTTGAATTCTGTTTATTGAATTCCTTGCTGTGTGAACAGCCATGACCATGCTCCTTGGACCACACAAGCTTCCATCTGTGAACACAGGGAACAAGATCCTTAAGACCCAAGACTGGGTGTGGGAGTTAAGAGAGTTAGTGCAGGAAGCATGGCTGGCAGGAGCCTGCATTAAATCAATGCACTTTCCCTTCGTGCCTCTCTAGGGTGCATGTTATGTGAGGCCTCTGGGAGGATTTCTAAATGTGCTGGCCTCCAATTAGCCAGAGCCACCATTGTCTTCATGGTGCTTGAAATGACCATTCCCTGTAGTTTGCCTGAGCCTTGGAAATAATATGACACCATTACAAAGGGAAAGGGGACTGTGGTAAAATTTAGATAAAGAGGATTGGTTAAGTGACACTCATAAAAACCATAAAGTTAAGTATCAATTCTAGTCATATTTATCTTCTTAAACCAGTGACTACACTTTGATGGTAATTCTTTTTTTCTTTCTCATTGTAGTTTGTTGTCACTACCTTCTGAGTAAAACCTGCAGGAGATGCCTCCAGGCACCATTGGAAAGTAAGCATTTTATCCCTGCTTTATCTAACTCAGGCTCCTGTCTTGGGAAAGGAGGGTATCTCCTTTATCCTAAGCCCACATCTTACACAACAAAGCCAAAAGAAAACCATATTAACTTAGAAAATACAAATATATAATATATATTTCCTCAGGTCTGAAGGAACTAGCTAGCTTTGCCTTTGAGTGGCTCCCACTGCTGAGGCTGTCTTTCTATGTGCTGCTCCAATGGAGGCTATAAAAGCTTCCCTGTCTCTTGACTTCAGCAAGAGGGGGTTTCTAGCTCCAGAATAGACTGAAAACCCTTAGTCTTACGTTTTTTATGGGCAGACATCTGGAGTCCTTTCCTAGTAGAGTTAAGTGGTCTTCAAAGCTGGACTGAAGGAAATGGTCCCATTTTCTCATTTGATGGGTTGTGAAAGATCCAGGCTTTCATGTCAGGAAAACCTTTCCTTTAACTGTGAAGCTCTTTCTAATGCCACTGTGACAGTGAGGACCATGAGACACATGCTAGGAGAGGGCTGTCCCCTTTGGTTTACCTGCTCAGCTTGTGTTCAGTCAAGGGCTCAGCGTTGAGATGGCTGGATCCTGGAAGGGGAGTCCATGGTTGCATCCTGGAGAACTCAGGACCAGGTAACATGGAAGATAGGGCTTGAATATGTTCCGTCTGCTCAGCGGAGTCCTTCAGCAGAGACCTCTGTATATGTACTTGTTAGTTTTAGTTTCCTAAGAAATGTAGCCACAGAGCTGGGCAGTCTGGTTCCGTGGCAGGTCAGACTTCCTCTTTATGTAGCGCTAGCCTTGAAGGTGTGGAGGCTGAGGTCCCACCTCTCCAAGCTGACCTTAAGTCATACAGCTGACCTTAAGTCATACAGATTCTTTTGTAGCCCTTCACAAGAATCAGAATAGAAAGGGGAACACTCGTCCATTGCTGGTGGGAGTGCAAACTCGTACAGCCACTTTGGAAATCAGTATAGAGATTCTTCAGGAAAATGAGAATCATTCTACCACACGACCCAGCAATTCCACTCTTAGGCATAAACCCAAAAGATGCCCATTCATACAACAAGGATGTCTGTTCCACTATGCTCATAGTAGCATTATTTGTAATAGCTAGACCCTGGAAGCAACCTAGATGTCCCACAACTGAAGAGTGGATAGAGAAAATGTGGTACATTTACACACTCAGTGGAAGAAAAAAAAATGAAATCTTGAAATTTTCAGGCAAATGGACAGCACTAGAAGAAACCATCCTGAGTGAGGTAACCCAGACACAAAAAGACAAACATGGTATGTACTCATATATGAATTTTAGACATGGATGGGGGGGGGTTAGCCTACAATCCCAGTGCCAGTGAGTCTGGGAAACAGGGAAGTTCCCAAGAGATATGCATTATACCCCAGAGAAGTGGAAAGAGGCAAGATCTCCTGAGCAGATTGAGAACATGGGGGGAGAGGAGAGGGAACCAGGAAAAAGAGAGGGGATAAGAGGAGGATAGAAGAAGACATGGGGGAGCAGGAAGGTTGAGTCGGGGTAAGAATAGAGGAGACCAGGATGAGAGATACCATAATAGTTGGAGTCATTATAGGCTTGAGGAGAGAGCTGACACCAGTGAGATTTCCAGAGATCTACAAGGATAACACCAAATGGAAAACTAGGTAATAGCAGAGAGACTACATTAAAGCAATTCATTCACTTAATCAATGAGCCTTTATTACACCTAGAGCTTAAAACAAGGTCTGTTTCATGGATTCACCATCATGTGGGTCATGTCAGTCAGTCGATTAGTTTGGTTTCTACCTATATAAGTCTACTAGAATTTGTCCACCAGAGTCCTACATACTGTAGTGGCTTAAATGGTAGAAATGCATTGTCTCCCATTTCTGGATGCTGGAAGTTCAAAATCAAGGCATCTTTGCTTTCTTCATGGGCTTGTTGAGGAGGAGATGCGTACCTGTCAATCTTCTAAACTTGTGGATGGAGGTCTTTCTTTTCACATAGTAGCCTCTATGCATCTGCTCAAAATTCCCCTTCTTAAAGAAACCAGTCCATCCGGGTCAGGATTTATACTATTACTTCATTTTAAACATAGGTCTGTAAAAACCTTCTCACCATATAGGTCATGTTTTGACATCCTGGGGGTTAGGACTATTGATCTGTACTGATTGTTGTTGAGTACCTGGATGATCAAAGGTGGCCACATTCATGCATTTGCTAAATTTGCTCAGTACCCCAGTTGCCAACACTGTCCATTGTCACTCTGTAGGCCGTCCAAGGCTCATCTTCCTGAGGTTTGAGGTTCTTAGAGTGCAAGGGAGAGGAAGCCTCAAAAACATGCCTTTCTTCAGTCTGTGTTCTCATTCTGTTTGTTAAGGTCTTATTGGTAAGGCAAGACTCTGGTCTGTTACACCAGAATGAGTATGGAGATACTTCCTCAAGAAGCAGATGTTTAAAAGTAAACTACAACAAAAAAGCTCATGTTCGTCTTTAGTTCTCAGGACATTGAGAAGCCAAGGCCAACAAAAAAGCCCTGCGTTTTACTAAGGAAGAATTAAACATTGTTGGAAAGAGTGAGAAGGTGGTTATATGTGATGTTTATTATTTTTTTAAATGGAGAAACAATTCATCCATTATCTAGTAAATATTTATCAGGGCTGCATTCGCAACACTTTGGGGTTGGATAGAAAGCTGGATCAGAAGTTCAAGATCATTTTTACAATGTGAGTTTGAGCCACATTGGCCTATATGAAACCCTGTCTCAAAAACAAGAGAACAATATGACCAAGTGTAGTGTTAGATGCTGAAACAAAATTGGGTTAAAGACACATATTCTCTTTATCCCTCATAGTTAACTTTTCAGAGGGGGCAAAAATGAACAGATTTTACAAACATAGAACTACTTATTTCAATCAATGCAGTGAGTTGGGCCTGATTCATCAGTGATTAGTCCCCCTCTGCCTATTTGGGCTAGGTGTAGAGACCCAGAGGTAAAAGAGAAAAATGATTGATGCTTCATGGGGATAGTAGGCCAGAGAGGTATAAAATGAGCAACAGACTAGTTATCACACATTGACTCATAAACTACTTCCATTGGAGAGGTGATGATGAAAGCTGAGGTCTCCATGATGAGTGTGAATTTGCTAGATCAAATGAGGGGAAAGAAGAGAAATGAAGGATGGAAGGAAGGAGAGAGAGAGAGAAGAAAGAAAGGCAGGGAAGCAGGGATAGTGTGAAGAAAAACATTTGAAGTTAGAGAGTTGTATATCTAAAGGCCAGGAGGATAAATAACCCAACAAGCTGCTGGAATACAGAAGGAACATGGAGGTGGTAACGTGGAAACAGCTAGAACCAGGCCACACTCACTTGTCTGAGGACCATAGTTTTCTTTGATGCTGTCTCTCACACTGTACATCTTGACACTTCTCCTGAATCCCTTCAATTTGATGTCAGTTGATTAATTTTATGCTAATTGTCACGTGAGTTCTTGCCTCCTGACCTCCATGCTCCCTTCTAACCTACATGGTCTATTAGGTCCACAAGCTGTATGTTCTCAAAGTGGGTTCAGGAAAATTCACTAGAGGCTGGTTTTGGACATGCAGGTTCTGAATTGCTGTATTGCTGAGGGCATGCTTAGCTTTGAAAGGAGTATAATCCTTTTGTATTTTATAAGAAGCCTGGACAAACCCTCATATCAAGACCTTTCTCTAGAGAGAAAGGAGGAGCGGATGGAGTGGGGGAGGGGGACAGGTATAGTGGGGATGGGGTGGGAAGAGTGGAGGGAGAGGAAAATGTGGTCAGGATATAATGTATGACAGAATTAAAAACAAAAACAAACCAAAGGAGTGTGGACGATGGCATGCAGTTGGAGGTGTGGCTGTGATGATTGAATTGGTGACTGCAGATTCCATAACTGTGCCTGTGGTTTTCCCTTGAAGTCATGAAAAGCTGGGGACTACCATACCATTCAGATGACTGATGGACAGATAGTAGGCCCCATCTGTGGACAAAGGATGTGTGGTACAGCAGCGCTACATGTGGAATGAAGGAGGGCTCCGTGTTATTGCTTTAGCTAGGGAGTTGGTTGCATTTTCACTGCTTTCTAGATAATTCACTCAAAGCACAACACCTTAAAAAAACAGGGCTGTAATTCCAGGGATATGGGGATAAAGGGCTCCTTTTTAGCTGGTTGGGAGGCTGGAGTGAAAGGCTGGGTCACTTTGGAGTCACACTCACTAGTTCAAATTCTACACAGTCCCACTTACTGAATGAACTCAGGCAAGTTTCTAAGCTTAACTTTCTCCCCCTCCCCATCTCTTAAGACAGAGTGTGATGCTATGAGCATAGCACCACAAGGCATGAAACTATAAACTGACTTCAGATTTGTCAACCATCTAGAGAATCCATCAAAGAGGATGACTTTCTGCCCCCCCCTAAATTTTACTATGAATCTAGTGTCCATGAAAACTGACATCCAAATGTAGATTTACAAATAATTTTAACCTTTTAAAGTTTTGCAGACTTACAAGAAGGGGAAATAAATCTAGAGCTGTGATGTAGACTGTAGAATATCTCTCTGGACTCTGCATCTCTAGAAACAGATTACCCATGTGTAAGTACTCTGGGCAGAGGGAAGCTAGATTCTACATTCGGTTCCTGTCTACACAATGCGGCGCTGTGCTAGGGAGAGAGAAATGGCAGAAAACTGTCCAACCTTTCACTTTCTCCCCAATGGGGCTTACTGTTAGTTTTGTTTTGCGATTTTCTTTCTTCTTTTTTTCTGGGAGAAGATGAGTTTAAGTGGTAAAAGAAACAGCCAGTTCTGAGCAAACACTCAGACACCTCTTGGTATTCAGTTTTCTGCTTGCAGCTGCTGCTGCCTGCCCATCCAGGCTCCCGTCAGACAGCTGGTCTCTGGCCGCTGTCAAAGGCTGCACTTGCATAATGCATCTTACACACACTCACACCCCACAAATTTGAGACAGTCCTCTATACCTTCAGGGGAGAGGGTCTGTGCTTACTTGATGGGCTTGTTTTTGTGAGTGCTGTCTCCTGCAGTGGATCAAAATCCACGTATTTTAAAACAAATTATACGAGAAGTCCTGTGTGGAACCTGGGTTAATTAGTACTAGCTTTCCTGATTTATTACAGTTTAGCATCTGCTCATTACTGGTGCTTCAGGCAGTTGGACACAGGGCGCAAGTCAGAGAGGGGCTCAACTCTCTCTAATTGTGTTCGCTTCTTATCTTCTATCCTGGGTTCCCAGGATGCACATCGTGAACACTCAGCTCACCACAATTAGCTATACTCTCTTTCATATCACAGTTGTATCCTCCAAATAGGGCATTTGAGTTTGTGCTTAAGCTTAAGTGTTGTCCTCTGCTGGATTTCAGATGTGCTCAACTTCAGCTGGCTCTGAGACACCACTGTGTACTTTTGACGACTGCTCAGTAGTTACTAGGAGAAAAGCTCAAATTCAAACAAACATTGTCTCTTGGGGATACTCTACGTCCCACACATATTCAGGGATTTCTAGTTGTTGGCTCTGCTACCCTGGTCAGGCATCCTACAGAAAGAAGAATCCATACACAGAACATAAAAGCTCAGTGCAGGATCTGCAGGCCCCAGGCAGGGCAGTTCAGGGTACAAAGTGATGTCTGAAATGTTTTCTAGAGTGGCTATGTTGTGCCCATATTTAAGTCCTTTGGAGCTGCCAGGGGTAGAGATGATA